AAAAGAGAAAGAAAAGAAACCCCTATTCCTCTCAACTCTGTCAGAAAACCTTCCCTTGAATAACAGTTGGCTACTGGTCTCAGAGAAGTATCTAGAAAATAACTATATATGACCCCATTTTAAGGTTAAAATCTTCATCCTTCATCTTACAGAAATGTCAGAAAACCATGTACCTAGACTACTCATCTCCCGCATATCAGGAGGCAGAAAACCCACAGAAATTCTAAAGCTTGCCCTTACCATTCTAATGGGACAGGATGGAAAGTATCAAATATATTCACTGCCTGAAAATTCAGCTTTCCCTGGGAAGGAACTCAGCCTGAAGAGTATGTTGTAGATTATGATTAATCATTAACTGTGCTTCCATTTTTCTGATAGCTGGCTGCCCCATACTAAATAAAGTGCACCACAACCAAAGAACATAAATAACAATATTAAATATGCATTGGAGCTTTAAAAAAAAACAAAACAACTTTTTGAGAATTAAAAGAAAAAAGCAAACACATATGAAGCACAAAGAAATGAACTTTCAAAGTTCTTCACAAACTTAATGCACACCCTACGTGGACTATGAGAGGCTTTTCAAGACCCCACTATCAGTTCTTTCACTCATGACAGTGGAACAGGGTAAACCAATGAAAAGGTTAGTGTAGGAAAGATTTAGAAATGGTTTGATATTATAAGCTTGCCAAAAAATGTGGATACAGAGCCAGTAATTTACCTTCACCAGGAGAGGAAATGGGAAATCAGAGTCATTTATAAGGCAGTTTAGCTTTGGACTAATATGTTGCATATGTTAATGTTTCCTGGATCTGTTCCAGGAACAGATGAGAACATTTTGGATGGGTTGCAATTTTATCCAAAACTCAGTAAGTAATATGTTTATTATCAAATGAATTTTATATAATAAACTCTTCTGAGCAGGATTCACACAGATGTAGGGAGTCTGTAAGCTGTGTGTAAACTAAGCATACTCTGACAGGTATAATGGTGCTAATACAGTGAAAAGGTCAAGAAAACAATAAGGATCTTATCCAGGGTAAGAGCACCACCATTTTGAAATTTTGAAGACTGTGCATTTTCATGCTTTCTGGTGTGCCTGAATGATTACACTCTTGTCAAGCCAATTTATCTTTGGGTGAAAATGAACTTGCCTCAGTTCCAAGTATGGCAAATAAACAATGTCTCCTTTTGTTTCCACAAAAATTTAAAACAATCTTTTAGGAAAAGACACCTCTTCAGCTCAGACTCTAGTAGGTGAAGTCAAAGTTTTCTCACCAACTCTTGGAGGTCAAAAATCTGCTATATAAGGTGGTGATGGAGATCATTTGTCCAGAAATGAACCTTCACCTGGGGTTACCCAGCTTCAAACTCATGCCTGTGCTCCCAGTTCTCAAAGGAGAGATTTTCAGTGTCTCTATGAACAGGGCTACTGGGGATCCACACAGAGCCCAGCACTCCCACTCCCACCACCACCACCACCACACACACACACACACACACACCAGACTGAAGCCAAGGAATATCTCTATTTCACCTCACTCACCCTGATTTTTGTTTGCTTATTTGTTTTATGTTTTTTTTTTAATGCCTATACTTGTAAATGTGCAAGATAGGAAAACAAATCAAAAGAGGTAAAGCCCTCATCAGACTGCCTTCTTAACCCAAGCCAGGCAGAAAGAGAACTAATCAATATTTAGTACTTTGGACACATTGGCCCTAAGAAGGTAAACAACAGCAATAAAACAGAAAAGAATCCTATTCATCTTTATTTTTATCATCACCATTATTATTATTTGGCTCTGGTTGATCACTGCTTTTCTTTAGGGCTTTCCAAATAGGCAGCCCAATCTGGGAACTAATTTTAATTGCTCTGTGCCCCACCGGAGCACAGCTATAATCTAGCAACCTATTCAAGAAAACGAAGACCAACATTTTCTTTGAAACCTCCATTTTCATGATTTTATCTCACACATAGGCTGAGTTAAATCACTCCTTCATTTTTGGGGCCAACCTGAATTTTTAATTCGTTATTTTAAAAGGAAATATAACTTGCAAAGAATATTTTCTTTTTTGTGATACATAAAATTTACATATAACTCTTTGCTTAAAATTTAAGGCTATTTTCTTTACATTCATCATATACTTGCCACTGGTATCAGAGGAATATGCATATGCACAATATGTGAAGCTAAAATATACTCCTATTCTGTATACAACCGTGGCATTTACATAGGTCTCTAATCAATGAGTCTAAATTACTGTCACACAAAATTGATAGGAAAAAATTCTATTTTCGGGCAATCGTTTTGCAAGTCTGTTGTTAATTTGCCGAACTGGAAGTCACTATGAAATGAAGCTGACGTTTCCATTTATCCAAGGAAGCATTTTTTCATTTCAAAAGTAAGCTCTCATTTGGGCTTGCTGCCTCCTTCCAGGTAACGTCTGGATCCTAGACTTGGCTTCCACCTGCGGGTGTATTATAACCCAGGCGCGCGCACCCCGAATCCTCCCTCAGGCCATGCGAGGGCCGATAAGGCACCCTCGTGAAAACGTAAACCAGAAAGGAAAACTTTCTGTCCGCAAACTCTACTCCTCTCGCCCGCGGTCAAAAGTGACCCGACTTGGGGACAAGCACTGGCTTTTGTTCCAAGCGTTGCCCATCTGGTAAGGGAAGAGCCTCAGCAGCACTCCATCCCAAAAGGTCGTGAGTGATTCCGTGGGATTGGAATTTGGGAGCCTCACGAAAGAAGCCGATTTGTACGCAATCCGTGGGTGTGAGGTGTACAAATACACGGAGAGGGCGTAGGGTAGACAGGGATGAAATTCTAACTGCCTGTCAAATGCTACTTCAGTCTTAGGTTCAGAAAAGTGAGCCTCCTCATTCGTGGAAGAGCTTGCGAGTGTGTTCAGGGAACGCGAGGGGGCGGGGAGTGGGAGACCACGCGGACTGGGATGGGAGAAAACCAGGTATCAGAAGGAGATAGTCAAGATGTAGATCAGCCCCGCCTCCGGGTACAATCAGAAAAGCTACAGTGTGTCAGTGGTTTTCGGCTTCCTGTTTGTAAAGCGAGAACCTCCTTCCCAACCAGTATGACCGTGGTTCTTCCTCAAAACCGAGTCCGCCTCTTCTTCGCGCTCGAGGCCTGCTCCGCGGCGGGGCTGTTGGGGGCGCGGCGGGGCGGGGGCGGCCCGGGGGGAGGGGGAGGGCCGCGGGCACGGTGCAACCCCACTTCCCCCCAGCCAGGCGGCCTCCGGGGCAGAGCAGGGCCGCGAGGCGGACAAAGCGCCTCCAGCTCCCTCCCCCAAGGCCGCGTTCCAAAAGGGAGGGGGAAGGCGGGCTAAAGGAGATGGAGGAGGAGGAAGAGGAGGGGGAGAAAGGGAGGAGGGAGAGGAGGAAAGGGGGAAGGTGCTCCTGGCGGGACTCGGCAGGATCGCGCCTAGGAGGGAGGAGAAGGAGGAGGGGCTGGGGCGGCATCGGAGAACCGGGAGGAGGGAAGGAATCTTGAAGCCCAAGATAAACAAATTGTTCCTCCTCACGTGTGTGGGGGGGGAAGGTGGGGGGGAGCGTGCGCTACGGCCTCCCCTCCCCCATGCCGGCTCTTTGTCATGGAGCGCCGGCCGGAGCGCCGGGCGAAAGCCTGCAGCGGCAAGGGAACCACCCCTGGCGCTGACTACTCGCAGGCGGGGGATGTGCGCGATTTATACACTGCACGCTAAGAGGGCCGACCGCCGCGGCGCGCCGCGGTTCTAGGCGGTCTGCTAGGGAAACGGGCGAAGGCGCGCTCCAGGATTCCCACCGCCTGGCACCCGCGCCCAGGGACGGCGCGCGGTTCTAACCCGGGCTACGCCATGGGATGGGGGTGGGTTACAGGCACCTTTCTCAAGTTTCCGGCCTCCCCCCGCCCAGAAAGGAAAGAAAAAGAACCCGAGTGAGGAGATAAGAGAAAGGATTATACCCTCAGGCTTACGGGGTGGGAACTGCCCCTTCCTCCCGAGAAGTTAAGCCATTGGCTGCTCATCCTACATCGAACCCACCCACCCAGTCATTTAAGGCTTTTTCACCTCCCCGCTACCTTCCACTCCTCCGGGTTTATTAGACATGCCCAGAAAGTTGGCGGGGACTGGGGCGGGGGACGAAGCGGAGACGGCTCGTGGAAAGGCATGTTTAAGAAGAGGGAAAAGAACCCCAAGCAAAGCTGAGTGGTAGAGATACTCCGCGCACAACGCAACCACTGGGGGCAGCTCTCCCCTCCCGCCCCCACGGGGCGGCTCCTCCACCCTACCCTCCCGGCCGCTCCACCTGCCGGGCCAGCCCCGGGTCTCGAGCGGAGCGCACCCGCGCGCGCTCCCGCGAGCGCGCGAGCGCGGCCACCCTCGCTCATTTCTCTTCCACTTCGAAGTTCATTCACAAAACTCTCAGACTTAGCCCCGGGTTGGGGGGGGGGCGGTGAGCTGGGAAAAGGAGGCCCTCTCCCTCCCCACTCTTCCTCTCAGGAGTTGAGAGCCTAAGTGCCCGCCCAGAATCTGCGACAGCATCAATTTCTCTCTGCAACCGGCGGATGTGCTGCGAGGGGTGGGCGAAGGGGGACGGGTCTGGGGAGGCTAAGCGGCGCGGAGTGGGGTGGGGAGCGGTGAAGAGGAGGAGCAAGGTTTCAACTCTGGGTTCACTCTTTCAAATTAGTGTCTAAGGGAGGGAGAGGAGGGAAAAAAACTTTTCCAGCGCCTCACTTCGACGCTCCTCGGGGCTCCCTCCGCCCTTCGCAGTCGTGACTGGCTTTTCCTCATTCGCCCCCTCCTCCCCAAATCTGACAACCCTGACAGATTAACAGGTAGCGGCGACAGCAGTTTTTTTCCCCTCAGAAAAGTTGACGTTAACCCTTCAGCTTCAGCCCACCTCACCCACCATACAAATCAGACCCTCACACCCCAGTGTAAGAAGCTCCACGCCCCCACCACCACCACCGCGCGCCCCATGCCCGCTGCCAGTGCGCCCTCACCATGATCAACGTGTGGTTCCTCTGCTCAGCCGAGGCAGTCTCCACATCTTGCTGGGGTTTGTTCGGGTGCTGTTGCTTGCCGCCGCCAGTGCCGGCGCCCGATTTCTTGGCCCTCTGTTCCAGGGTCCGCTGGTAGAGGCTCACGGTGTCCCGGCGCTCCAGCTCCAGCTGCTCCACCTGAGCCTGCTGATACCTGTTCTCGCAGTTGACGTGGTGTCGCCGGCAGCCCTCGATGCGCTGGCGGAGTCGCTCGACCACGGTGCTGTGCTTGGGAACAGCCGCCGAGCCGCCGCCGGGGCCCCCGGAGCCGCCGCCGCCGCAACCGCCGGCAGCGGGGTGATTGGTACTCGGAGCAGCGGGAGTACTATTGGGAGTATTATTCACACCGATCCCGGCCCCGCCGAGGCTGCTGTTCAGGCTACTGTTGATGCAAATACTACTGCCATTCGCGGCAGCAGCGGGGGCTGCGAAATCCCCCATCCTGCTCCCCGGGCACACTATTTTGGAAGAACTTTTTTTATCCACCCCCCTATCAGCCTCCTCCTTGGGTCCAAGGATTAAAATAGTTTAAATGGAACGCGGGGGAGACGCAAGCACATGGATGGAAACAGCGATTCCGACGGGGCGAAAAAAAAAGGGGGAGAGATTTTGGGGCGGTTTTTGTTTCCTTTTTTTAAACTGTAAAGCTCGAGGGAAAAAAGGGGGGTGTTATCGGAATACCATCAGACACCTATCAACAAAAAGAATCACAACAAACTGAGCCAGCAGCAAATCAGGTTGCAACTCAAGGGGAGATCCGCTCTTCGCCTGCCTTCTTTTTATAATCCATTATTTTCTAATAAATTCCAGGAGATTTCCGGTGGTTGGCAAGCATTTTCTCCCTACGTACCGAAAAACACACCCCATATACACACACAAGCATATGCCTCCAGTGCGGACACGCACGACACACACTCACTCCACACCGCATCGGCAAACGGCAAGCTTGCTTATTGCATTTTCCTTCCACAAAAAAGTTTTGGTGTTTATGCCGCCCCGTGTTCTCAAAGTACTTTGGCTGCTCAGTTGCATTTCACAGGAACCTAGATATCGAATCCTCGGGCTGGGGGAAGTAAACACAGGGACAGTCCGAGGCGATTGCAAAAGTAGATCGGTGAAGTCCTTTGCAAAACGCCGCGCGGAGAGCAGCCCCTAACGCTCGGCTGGGCTGCCGCTGCCGCCGCCGCTCCTGCCACCATCACAATGATCAACTGCTCGCCGCCGCCGCCGCCGCCTCCTCCTCCTCCTCTCGCTCCTCCACCTCCTCCTCCTCCTCCATGCCAGCGGAGTGATATCAGGACGCGCGAGCTCAGTAAACACGGCAGCGGCGCCGGCTGGAGGCCGTGAGACAAGCCCGGGAACACGGCGCAAAACCCGGCCCGGACTCTCACTCGGCAGGAGCGGGCGCGGCACGCACCGGCACCCGGCACTCTGCTCCCTCGCCTCGCCCTCTCCCGCCCCTCCCACACCCCCAGCTTTACTACTACTCTGACTGGGAGGCCAGAACTGCCAGAAACAAGAAAAAGAAAGATTCTGGGGGACCTGGGGAATGAATCAACTTTTGACCTGTGAGAGAAAAAAAGAGAGCGCGAGAAAGCGCCGACGGCCTTTCTCTGGCTGGGTTTCCTTATTCCAAGCGAGGTATCAGGCGAGCCCAAGTTGTTGTTACACATTTATGCATTATATTGCAGAACCGTGCATGACCAGGCAGAAGCATTGAAGCTTCACAGCAGTTATCTGTCATCCCTATCCATGTGGAAAGAAAAAGGCAAATGAGTGACTTGTTTTTAAAACCCAGGTAATAAGTCCTCACTGTAATAACCTTGCTTATGGACACTTTGTTCAAACTCTAGGTCAGTCTTCACACAGAAATACCGAATCCTGAATAAATAGAAATAAGCACCAAGAAACCTGGAATATTGTTGAATTCACTGCACATGATAATTGTTGTTATTAAGGCAATTATTGTTTTTCTTACCCTTGGAAAAAAATTAAAATAAACCAAGCAGGGACTTGGAGGTGAGATTAACAGTACATTTTAACAGACTGTTTTGAACACTAGGTGCTAATGACAGCAGTAATTAAGGGTCCTTCGTAAATCAAGTGGAAAGATTGCAGATCTCATGGACTAGAACTATAGGAAAAACACAGCATTTCACAGTTTGTCATGACCAAAACAAAAACAAGCAAAAATAACAGGCTCACTTTATTGCTGGATGTATTTCTTTCTGTTTAAATGAATTCACGATAAGTACAATTAAAATGGAATAGCGACCACAGAAAGCAATCTAAACTTTCCATTTTATTATGGTGAATCATCTTTCCACATACTGAGTATCTTAAAAACAAACAGACAAAAAAAAACAAAGATCCAATATAAAGTCCTTGCATCTGGTCTTCACCCATTTCATATAATAAGTTTAATAAATTAAAGTGGAGGAACTGTTAACATTTCAACGATCACCAATAGGACATTCTGTATTATCTCAATAAATCTTATATAATTATTTTTTAAGGTAAAAATACACCCCAGTTTTCTAAAGGAGCCAGGAAGAGAAAAACTTTGGATCTCATGCATTAGTCATGAGATCTGATTTAAACCATCCTCATTTCTTGGCATTGCAGATTAGCATAGGATGCTATTTCTAACCTCATAATGTTAGAGCTATATTTTTCTTCATTAATCAGATATATATGGTGAACTATATCATTAACATCCACTGGATTATATGGTAAAATAGGCAGCAAAATATTGATTAACCTGGCCTGAGGCTATCTCTACGTAGTAAAACCAATGTGAGAGAATATCTTTTGTCAAAGTTGCCATACTTTTTTGGAGGGCTATTTAATGTACAATCTTCTGTATCAAAAATGCCTTTTCAAGTTTCAGTCAGAAATTTAAGTGAATTAGTTCTATAGCAAAAAGTTCAGACTCTAGGAATGTATAGAGTTTTATAAGAAATGATAAGAACAAGAAGTAGCAGAGTGGCCTGTGTCTTTTTCACATATTCACTAAATGTCTTTATTAACTCAGGAAACACATGGCTTCACCACAGAGAGGAAGCTATGACTCTGCATTCACTCTGCTCTATCTTCACTATAGTTTAATTATTATCCCTCCTCCTACCTCAACCACATGCATCACCCATAGAAGACTGCATCACCCATACAAGACTTGATTTACAGGGGCAGCAAATTTGAGGGTCTTGAGTACTGGATCATCAGCTAAGAGATTTGGAATCTAATTCCAGCTTTTTCCTGTGTCTCAGCATTCAAATTTTCATTGAGAGTTTATCACTCTGAAAAATAAATGACAACAATAGCAACACCATGTTTTCCCATCAAGCCATCTGCCTCCCCTATCATGAAGGAAAACCAAAAATACACAAGAATTTGCATCCTCCCCTTTGGGGAATCAACATTACAGGGGGGCCACCAGCAGGTGGGGGAACACATCTACGGCTTTACCCTAGACCTCAGACAAATGGAGCTATTCTTGCACAACTACAGTGTAATTTGCTGACTGACTTTAGTGGATGAAAGAAAGTTGACTGTTCATATGTATCTGTATACACACACACACACACACACACACACACACACACACAGAGACATCAGTCTTTTATCTTCTTCAAGATGGTAGGAGTGGCAGCTACACGCTCCATGACAAGATGTGGGGAAAGGAAGGATTGTGAAACTGTATGATGGTGAGAGAGGGAAGAGTCTTTGAGGAAACTGACCTGTGCAGTATTCGACTGTGACATATGGAGGTCAAAAACCCCATCCTAATTATGTAGGAGGATTAGGAGAAAGAAGCAGGAAGTGAACAAGACTTGAGTCTTGAGCAACAGAGACAAGTCATTCTGACTAGAGATGTTAATCTGCTCCAGTAACCTTAGAAGAAGCAGAGACCCCCATATTGGGTACTTCTAGTCTCTCGTGATATATCCCTACAAGGTTGCCTAAATAATTCCTTGAAAGTCATAGGCAAATCCAAATGCTGGAGAAGCAATTTTAGTCCCTTCTCACTACCAAGCACCCTGATAGCATGACCATCTTTGTCTTTCATATGAGCCTGCTACAAAGCAAAACTTCAAGATGGAAGCTATAGTTACATCATTAATGCTGTTTTAGAAATAGCAAAGAAATCAGAGATTCCATAGCAGTGACGAGAAAGAAGTTACTGCTGTGGCTGCATCCCAGATTGGTGTATCTCACTGGGTGCTAAAGAGAGAAGATCTTGTTGAATAAGAACCTGCACCAGGTTGTCCCAAGGCTCCGGCTCTGAGCCAACATTGGCAGTTCTAACGGGTTAAACCAGGTACCTCTTCCTTTAGACCACCCCTGTGTCATCCTCCTATGTCCATGTGAGAGGGCCCTATGACCCAGTGACAAGAAAGAGGTCTTTGTAGAGTTTTCAGTCTTTGTGCTACTTCTGCTTCCCTATTACTATGCATCAATATAACTGGCTTCATAATTATGCCCTAAAAGACTACTTGGTGACCAAGGTAGTGTAGGAACCCTCAAACCTTTAAATATCCCCACAAAGAGGGATCTAGATACTTCTGAATTACTAGCAACAGTGGGACATGCCCTCGACTCTCCAGCAATAGCTTCAATTCAATAATTCAACAAATATATTTATGGCCTTTCTTGTCCCAGGCACTGTGCTAGGCACTGGGTATACAGCATGATAGTGTGTAGAACACAGGCCCAAACTCGATAACAGCCAATTAGAATATAAGGCAGTAGGTGTGGTGATGTAACTAAAGTGGTTCCGAGTGCATACTTGGGGGTCTAAGGAGGCTTCTCCAGAGACATGATGTCAGGACTCACTCTGGGAAGTGGGTAGAAGTTAGCCAAGCAATGGTTGGTGGGGGTACACAGTGGGAGCTAGGAAACAGCTTAGACAAGGTTCCAAGGCCTGTTGTTTCAGGAAAACCATCAGTAGTTCCCTCTGGCAGGTTTGTGAGTGTAAGGGGGTGTGATGAGAAATGAGGCTTTGAAGGTAGGCAGGAGCTAGATTGTGTCCGGACATTCCAGGAGTTGAGACTATGTCCTTGGGGCAATGGCTCCCATTAAAAGGATTTAACCTGATTTACATGTTTTACTTTGGCAATACAGTAGATGTATTATTACAATGTTTTCAAAAGTGTCTTCTGAAGAACCTGGTCCGGAAAGATACTTTACCAGAAAGGGTTCTGAGCTAGGTAAACTTAGGAGATGATACATACTGCATTTCTCTTTTGGAAATTCACCACTGCGTTGAAGGCCACATGCCGTCATGCAGCAAAGCATGTTAACTGTGCTTAACCTAGCCATTTCCAAAATGCTTTTATGTTCCACAGAAAGGATCACACTGCAGGAAAACTGAAGGCAGTTCTAAATCCGCTTAGGTTCATAATTGCCTGGGCAGATAGCCTGTGTCAAAGACTACACTCACCTTGCCATCTACTCTGCTAGAATACTGCCCAGCGCTCGAGGCCTTCAGCTAACCTTAACTGGATAAGTTGAATTTGGACCTTTAAATAGTGGGGAAGTAGCAACACAAGGCCAAAATTCAAAGAGGGTAAGCTTAACTAGCCTTTTTCAACATCACTATGTTATATTAAAGTTGTCTTTATAGAATGAAACCTCTTTACTAGGAAGAAGGAGCCCTGGTGGTGCAGTGGTTAAGAACTTGGCTACTAACCAAAAGGCCAGCAGTTTGAATCCACCAGCCACTCCTTGGAAACTCTATGGGGCAGTTCTACTCTGTGCTATGGAGTTGCTATGGGTTGGAATTGACTCGACAGCAATGGGTTTGGTTTTGGGTTTTATTGGGGGAAAGGTCAGCCTTAATTAATCGAAACATCTCAATTATGTAATAACTTTAAAGATACAGAGTTTCATTATTTTTGAAGCATGTACTGAATCTATCCTAACAAATACTGGCCTCTTGGAACTGTTTTAATGATTTCCTTCTACCTAGTAAACCAATTGTATGTGGATGACATACCCCATGAACAAAAGTTTGTCTCCTTAACTATTTAAATATTCTTAGAAAGATCCTGTCTTCATTATTTTCTTTCTTTCTTTTTTTTTTTTTTTTTAATTGAGAAGGGTTTTGCTAAGTGCTAGACCATGTTGTAAATTTTAAGAGGAATATGAATTAATGGGGTTTATTTTCTTGTTCACATATTTCCAATATGAATATAATGGCTTTATGGC